GTTGGGGGGGGGGGGCTGAGTTTGCGTGGGGGGGTCAGCGCAGGACGGGGAGTTCAGAGGGCACGGCACTACTGTCGGAGTGAGCTCTGATGCCGGCCCGTTGTGACGCCGGCTGCAGCTGTGCCCCCCCCACACACACACACTCACACATGGCTTCCATTACCGCCTCGCCGTCGCAAGGATGAGGCGTACGCTCTCTCCAGTCGAGGGCTCTGGGCCCAAACAGCAGCCAGCGCCAGTGTCATTATGTGAGTGTGCGTCTGTTTGCGTGTGTCGATCGGTGTATGGGACTTTCAGATAAGCTGTTTCTCATTTTGGGCGAAGAGCGCGGGGCCAAAATGTTGTTTCAACAATTTCCAGCCTCTCACTTTCGCTTCAACTGCTTTATTCTCGGGGTGTTTTCCTTTCGTTGCGTGTTGGTCACCGCAGAGACAGCGCTTCGTCTCCCTCCCTTTATACGTGCGCATCCATGGGCTCACCTTAATGTTCGGCATGGGACTGGATGCTCGCTTCTCGCTCTTCAGGGCGGAGGGGGAGAGGGGACCAGAGGAGTTGTTGGCCTGCGGGAGAGGAGGCATCTGCATGCTCGCCAGCTGGGCGGCATACAGCTGCTGCAGAAAGAGAAAGCAGCAACGCTGTCAGGCTACTGGCATTCCTCGCCTTCACCCCCCCCCCCCCACCCCCCCATCCTTGATACAGCATTTTACTTTTTGCTGCATCTTCTGAGTTTGACTGTTGCGGGTCTGAACCATCTCTGACATCTATTCTTTCAACAGATGCTGAGAGCAGCTTGCAAATATACTTTGATGTAGAATTGCATCAAATCAAATGCTAAAGAAACATTTGAATTTTGCCAAATTGAATCGGATCTACCGAAAAATTTGGATTGGTCGATGTTGATTAACGTTTTAGACGATGCTTGGCTCAGTGCTGCTTACAATAACAAGCTGGTCTCCTTTATAAACCACGAATGATAAAATCAACATGGCTGTTTTTCTTAATCTGATCTTCTATTTGACCAGCTTTGATTTGGTAAATGGTAATAATCAGATTAAAAACACAAAGTTGCTCTATGAACATTGCTTGAGACTAATCTTGTTACGTATTTTTAACTCATTGCAAGAGCTCAGATAATCAACCAACTGACCCCAAAATCAGAATAGTTGAAAATCATTTTTAAGTAGGTGCAGTCATACCGCAAATAGCTTGGTCATGAGTCAATCAAAAAACACTTAAATGTAATGTAAAAATTTTAAAAAGGATTTGGAAGGTATCATGAGACCATTACTGCACAAAAAAAGTCGGTACCCATTTTCCATCCAACAAAAATCAAAGAGTCAAATAGTGGGCCCGGAGTCCAGGGCCTTCTAAATCAAAGCTAGCTAGCCAGACAAACCGCTGCTTGAAACCACTGTCAGCCCCTGTCTGAATGCATCGGAGTGTGAGGGCTGCAGAATCAAAGCGCCTGTCCTCAGGAAAACCACCCAGACGCGGCTGGCCTCCCCCAGGACTCCCCCCCTCGCGCCCTTCCTGTCCTGCTCGCCTCTCATTTAGTCACCCTCACCTCATATAGACTCTCCGACCTCCCGTAAATCGTCCGTCTTTCTTTTGTCTCTCTCGTTTGATCTCCCCCCCCCCACCCCCTTTTACCTTTTTTTCCCCTGGCCCTCAGGTTCCGTCCAAATGGCTCTTCCTATCATTCCCGCCGTCTCCCTTCTCTCTGTTTTTTCTCTCCCGGGCCCTGAGCCCAAACCGCCCCCCCCCGGTATTGTGGGATCTGATTTCCCTGTAGTCAAAACTACGAGGCCTACGGGGACCAAAGAGATCCAAAAGGAAAGAGTGTTCAACTGAGAACGAGAGGGAGGTAGAGAGCGTTGGCGCTGCAGACACACGAGACCACCGTCGCTTCGCCGCCGCAGCGCCGGGCTCAGCGGTTCGGGCCCGGGAAAAAGAATTGGCCGCCCCTCTTTCCACTTCTCTCGGAGCGATATTAAACACAAACAGAAGGGGCCTCGCCGCTGAAACAAAGCCCTGATGTCACGCCGCTTATTTTCCTTGGAAGGCACCGGGAGCGCTCGGGCCAACCCCCCCCCAACCCCCGGCGATATGAGACCCCCGTAAGAATGTGCCTCGAATGGCTGGCGGTGAGGCCTCTCGCGTCAATCAAGCCCGACCGCAGAGTTACTTCTGGTGATGCCTGATATTCTTACAGCTCTAAGGGGAGCAGACGCACACACACGGACACACACACACACACACACACGAGTGCGGGTGTGCTGTGAGCGGCGATTCCGTCAGCGATTCCAAATACGATGAGGGAATTGTTGAGCAAACAAAAGGCTGAGCGAGTAGGAGCTTGTGCCGTGTTTTGTTTTTTTCCCCTGTTTCTTAAAGACGCCTTGAGATTGATTAGTGACTGTGGGGGCCAATGTGCTGCGTAAACAACCACAACCACAGCTCTCACCATTCACTCAACCCCCCCCCCAGGGAAGACAATGCCGCAATTTCCTAAATTACAAATTGACAAAGAGGGCCCCGGCCCTCGGCGGAGCTCTCCAGACTATCTGACTGGCCTTCCGGCGTTAGTGCTAATTTGACTAAAATCCAAATGATCAGTCCGTCATTTTTGGCCGTCCTGATCATCAGCAGGTTTTGAGCCGACTTCGGCTTAATCGCGGAGAGAAGCAGGGAGACGCAGACGTTTCTGGGGTCCGGCTCTGAGCAGCACTCACTGCCGTTTTTAGCGTCTCAGCTGCCATCGATCTCAGGAGTGAACAAAACAGATGAGCTTTTTGTCTTTTTCAGCTGGTTTGCAGGGGGTGAGATGGAAGAGGAGGAAGACGAGGATGGGGGAGGAGCGCCTCGTGGATCGACCTCCTGCAAGGACACTGCGGGGAGGCGTCCAAGGCGGTGAAAGACAACTATATCTCACTTCCGGCTCTCCTCGACACAACACATGCTTCGCTCTGTGAGCCTCCAAAGCAAATCCGTCCACTCATTGTCCTCATTTTGGGACAAAGAAAGCCATTCTGGCGACAGCGCTGTAATCATGACCGTGGGGCACAAGAGTTTGCTCCTCGGCGTCCGCTCCACGGCTCGCACGCAGCAACAGGCAGAGCGCCGGGGCGGGCAGCGAAAGATGTCTTATGATTTCAACAAGAATGTCCGCTGAGCAACTGTATTTCACTCGCATTAGCCGCAACAAAGGGGGCCTTTCTTCGCCGGCACTCCAGTGTTTGTGAAGGGTTCCACTCTGGGGCTTTGGAAGCAATTGGCCCCGTCAAGTTCCCACGCTGATAGCACGACACTGCGCTAGCAGAACCTTCAGGTCGGGTCACGATGGGTCCAGCACAACAGGGAAGCTTTTGTCCGTGTTCCCGCTGCCAGCATAAAACAATGCAAAGGATCAGCGCGGCTTCTTTGTGAGGGTGCGCCAAACCTCTTGTAAGCCCGTTTTCTCTCGCCTCTGCCCACTTGACCGTCTGCGCCCGCCAGCTGCCCGGAGCTTGCTACGGAGCACCGAACATCTGGATGAGTGTGCCTGCAACATCTGTCCTCAGGTCTGGCATTGACAGGCCAGCTGGTTTGTGCTGCACTGCAGAGGCGCCGACGTAGAACTAACTCGGCGTAATTGTGCCCTTTTTTCACACGCTAATGCTCAGTTTCACACGCAGTTGGTGAAGTGTGGCGTTACTGAGACTAAAAAACTAAAAAACACTGAGGAACAGACAAGCGCTCAGTGTGCGCACTGGACAGCCGTGTCGAGACATCGCAGCCCGGAAGGCCAAAGGGACGAAGATAAAGCAGGATGTTTCATTTCTACGCTGAACCCCAACAGTTCCCGTCAGTCGGGGGTTTTCCTGCGGGACTTGAAGTTGCAGAGAACTCCGCTAACATGAGGAAGAAAAAAAGCATCTCACACAGCGACGGCCGTGTCTGTAATGAATTACAACGCAGGGAGGTGTTAAGCTGTTGATTCACTGCAGACAGCTGAACTATATCAACTTCACAAAGTGAGCATTAATTGCAAGGCGGCCTGCTTGGACGGCAGCACCCCGTGCAGATGTGTTATTGTATCCGTCCCAATCTGCTCGCTGTGCGCTACAAGCGCCTCCTGTACCGCAGCACAAAGAGGCTCATGCTGCCACATTTGCGTTGGATGAAGATACATAACAAGTACAACTCTTCATGATTGCTTTTGGCTTTGGCATTGTTGTGAAAACAATGTCCAAACATGTGCTGGAAGTCTGGCAAAAAATTCCCCAGATAATCAGCCTTCTTTTTGTTCCCACCATGCAGGAACACTTCCCCGCGCTCCCTGTCTTCCTCCCGCTCCCGGTATCCGACTTGATTTCAGCCGTCTTTTTCATTCAGGTTCCCCCTCCAATGTTCGACGTGAATGAGTCTGCATCTCCGACATCATTCGTGCTCTTACCTCTCGCACGTGTGAGAGGTAAGAGGCTCTTCTGATCGTTTCAAAGCCAGGAGTGGAGATGCGGCTGCGGCTACGATCCCATTGGCACGGCACGCCGCTTCGCTGAGTCAATAGCGGTTAATGAGGGCCTCGATCAGCGAAAAACCACAATACAAATTGAATAAATTGAGATAAGGATTCTGGTAGCATCCAAAAGCCATGCAATGGTAATGACTGACATGATGAATCAATATTGTTTGCTAGTGAAAAGCTTTTGAGGCCTTTTGTTCTTTTCACCGATGGCTCACAGCCGCAGGGGTGACGGGGTCGCGTTGTGTAATTCCTAACCGCCCTTGCGATTTCATTTCTCTTTTCTATTCTTTTTGTTACCCTGATTTTTTTTCTTTGCAAATATGTTCTATGATAACCATTATGGATAAGTGCTATTCTCAAACCACAGGTGTCAAGCAGCAATAAAATATTTGATGAATTGCTCGGGCCAGGTGTTGTGCGGCAGCGGAATTCCTCTGCGATTCATCATAACAGCTTTTGTGTGTCACAGCTGACAAGCAGCGGATAAGTGAGCTAGCACGTTGGCGTCGCCCCTATAGAGCTTTGTCTCATGTTGTTTTTGAGAAGAAAAAAAAAAGAGTGAACTCCATTAAATTAATTAGGAAATAAGGCTGTGATCTGTGGTTCCTGTGGTTGTGTATCCTAGCTTCCGTTTGAATGTTGTATCCACATTTTGCCCTATGGATGTTTTTTTTTGGGGGGGGGGGGGGGGGTATGAACTTATTCTGCAACGTGGAGCAGCTGAGACTATTGGGTGGTTGTACAAAGAAGGCAGGAAATAATGATGGTGGGGAGATAATAATTGTTAAGTTTCAGTTCATTTTGATGGTACTTTTGTGATCACACATCTGCGCCTCCAGTTCATCATCACTTGTGGTGACATTCCTTCCTTTGCATCTTCTGCAGTCAAGACATAATTAGCTAGCTAGTAGCTAGTTATCTGCGCCAGGAGATTATGCATTTGGTCGTGTTTCTGTGCATCTCTGTGTCTGTCTGTCTGTCCTTGGCTAATCTCTGCTGGGCTCTGCTCAACCTGTCTTAATCCACACCGATTAAGGACCAATTTGAATGAACTGTCAGATGCCATCATTGACTTCTGACTGCTCACTAGTCTTAACCTGCTAGCTTTCCCTGTTTGAGATGTGAAAGTGGAAAACACCTGATACACTTGCTGTCTTGAAGGGGGGGGGGCGATTGTGTTTGGAATTCATTCTATCAAACATTACAATCTATGCAGACTTAAGAACGCTGCACTTAGTCTTTTTTAATGTGTTTCCTGTGGGTTTTTTTCCCACTTTAAAGCTCGCAGACACCCAGCAGGTTCGATGATAGCCTTGGCCTCCAGGTCTCATCCACAAATAATGAAAGGTTTCCTGCCTGCAAGGTATAGATTAAAGCACTATTGTGTCGACGAGTTGCAATGAACACGGCATGAGCGTTAAAGTCTTTGTGCTTCAGAGTGGTTTTATTCCATGAAAATATCGCTGGCTTTCTAATGCACTTGAACTCCGGGGTTAGAACAAGTGGGAGTTTCATTTAGTTTGTCAACTCATCTTTTCTCTTTTCTATTTATCTACTCACTTAGGCACAATTGTCTGGAGTTGTGGTCGGCTGGTTACACCCTTGGGATTAGGTACATTTGAACCTTCTCAGTGTACAAACACACAACCTTTACGGCGTGGCCTTTGTTGCTGCTGCAGCGCTGAAACTTTCTGCTTCAGTTATTTATCTGGTTGTGAAACACTCGACTTGTCATCACAGATAATGAAGAGGTTTACTTTGCTCGGCTTTACTCCGACGCCGTCGCCAACTCCGAGAAGAAGTAGCGTCTTTTGTGCCACGGTACAAAGGGAACAACTTGGACACATTTCCTTTAGTTTAGGTTCAAGAGGGCAAACAAGCGTTGGTTTTGGTGTAAGAACGAAGGCAATTTGAGGTTCCAGACGTGGCGAAATGTTTGCCATGGTTGTTTGCCAAAAAACAACGTGGAACGTGTTCTTGATTATAGACCAGCTGTTTTCAACTTACCTGCAGTTGCAAAGGGCTGAGTCCGGACGCCGCTGCAGCTGCCATTGTAGATGGAATGAACTGCATGGGGTAATTGTCACCTGCTAAAGAAAAACAGAGCAGAACACATTGTGGATTAGAGGTAGGAACCAGACTACTGCACAAGAACTAACCTGCTCTCTACCTCCAGCCAGCCTCTGTGAGACTTTTATTCAGGACAAATAAAACACAAAGGGTCACAAGCGTTTCATTCAAAGGTCAATAACGCCGTGGGTCCACTGCGGGGGGGGGACTCGGGAGATCTGAGTTCTAGTCCTCGTGGCCTCGTTGGGATGCACTCACGAATGCACGGGCGAGTAGCGTTCACAACCCCCGCTGGCTGTCCCTAAAAGGCTTTCCATGTCCCTGCCTTTGTTGCAAACAGACCCAAGTCGAAGGAGAGTGTAGAATAATGGCCTTTTAATCCCTTTCTTCATTTCTTTCCGACCTCGTATATGCTCACACGGCGGGAGTAAACACGTATTATTACGTACGAGGCTCGGCGGTGCGTGGCGTCGGGCGAGCGCCTGGAGGAATGCATGGAAGGGAGGAGGAATGTGTGAAGGACGAGGAAAGAGGAAGAAAGCAGGTGCTGCGAATCCCACAATAAGAGGACTGTGCTTGGAGTGTGTGTGTGTGTCTGTGTGAGACTTCGGCGCTCCGATGCGTGCGATCCTCTCAGGGTGTTTCGTCTGTCTGCATCTTCCTTACGCTTAGGCCGCTGTGTCGGTGCGCACCAGGAGAACATGCTTGAGAGAGTGTACAAGTGTGTGTGTGCGTGTGTGTGTGAGACAGTGTGAAATTCCATTTTACAGATGTGTTGCAACTGACATGCTTTCAACGCCGCCATAAAAGAGACATTCCAGTCCTCGCTGTGTCCAATGTATTGTTCCAGCGGCAAAAAGCAGAGCTTGTAAATCTCCCCGCTCATTTCCAGAACATTCCTCACCTGACACACCTCATTAACATGGACTGAGACTCCAGCGTTTGTGTTCCTCTCTGTGTGCGCACGTGTGTGTGTGGAGAGAAATACTGTGACTAGCTAGTTTCCTTTTTAGTTAATGAGAACTGTCAGCTTGTGTGTGAGGAGGGTGGCTGTGGATCCAGGAGACATTTCATTCATTAACTGTTGACCATCGCTCAGTTAGCTTGCGTACCCGGCTTGTAGGACAAGCCCGGCGGGAAGAGGAAGCCCTGCTGGGCGGCGGCAGCCAGAGAGCGCTGGTCGTGAGGAAACACCGGGATCATCAGAGGAGGCATGTGACCCTGGACCTGAGAGAGAGGGACGAGAGACGTTGATTAGACAGGGAGAGAGAGAGAGAGAGAGAGAGAGAGAGACTGGCCGAGACACAACTGGAATCCTTTTCGACGGACAAGCAGCAGTTGGAACCAGAAGAGAACGGTGAAGACACATTTTGGATGGAAAAGGAAGAAAGGAAAGCCACAAAACGGAAAAAGACAAAAACACACCACAAATAAAGACGCGCGCTCTCGAGAGACAAGCGTGCAAACGTGAAACAAAACGCCTTTAACACAACAGACGGGCTCACGGCTTCCTTTCATGTCAACTTGAAAGACCCTTAAAACGTGCGTTAAGGCGCTGAGGGCTGCAGCTATCAAAGATGAGCCTGCAGGGATCCATTAGGCCCGGCTGCACTCCACCGCTGGACTGTCTCGCTCTTCCGTTTCTCCACCGAATCTCAACTTTTCAAAGATTGTTTGTCTGTTTCCCCCGTCGCGTCTCCTCTGCTCGGCGTTCCCTCGGTCTGTCTTTCCTCGGCTTTCTTTCCTTTCCTGTCTTTCTTCTCGCTCGTTAAGTTCCTGTGTGAATGTTGGCAAAACTTTTTTCTAAAGCTTAAGAAACAAATTAGGCATTTCTTAACCATTTTGATCTGTCTATATACATGGATTACTTTTTGTTGATCTAAGATCATAATTCCTGCTAACCCAAAGGGAAAGAAGACATTTTGGCACTCGTGTTGCAATTTGCTGCGTCTCAATTTGAAGGTCATAAATTCTCCCGTATCCATAAAGATGTTTTAGCTGTTTTCTGTTTGCAACTTGGGCCCCATTTTCTCTTCTTTTCTTTGTAGAATTTTGTCCTTTTTTTCTCCTCTGTATTTTCTTTTGAGAAAAATTTCTGATCTCTCAACAAATCTGAATGTAAAATGAAAAAAGGGTTGGAAATAAGATCCACAGAAAACATTCATTAGTCCCGTTGAGCGCTTAATATAGTTAGATGTTTCTTTTTACATTTTATACATGAAACGATAAAACAAATAAAATGAAAAAAACAATATTACATAATTAACGCTTTCTAGAAAATCTTTCCACTCAGTCAAACTGTTTGTTTTATCCGTTTGATTTGATGTGGTTAAGGGAAGGGAAACAACATCTTGTTGATCAATTGATTTTTTAAATGACAGTACTATTATATCCAGTGAAGCATCACATATGTTGATTCTCGAATGTGAATCATGTAACTGCCAACTGTGTCTTTTTGAGGCTTCAGACTTTAACAGTTGTACAAGTTCACATCAGCATGCGTGCCGCTATACGGGCCGCTTAGCGTCCGTTTCACACCCAATCACCATTGTTCATTAAGCGGCCAGTTACAGGTGTTCATCACCTGACTGCTTCTTCAAACAAGGTTGTTTAGGTCACACTCCAAAAAAAAACCAGATAGCTCGGCAGGCCCACACACACACACACACACACACACACACACACAAGCTGTCTGACGTCTTTTACATGTCATGTGACACAGAGAAGAGGGAATGAAGAGAGAATAAAAACTATTCTGTCGGTCTGAATGACAAAGAAGAAGAAGAAGAAGAGAGAGGTGAAGGGGGGGGGGGGGTGTCTATGGGACAAAGTGCTCCCATTCATTGTATTCCTTTGGGAACACTGGGAATGACTGGGGCTGCTTCACCAGCGCAAACACACAAAGATCTTCTTTTACCGAGGGGGTGGAGGTGGGGGATGGGGGGTGGCAGGGGGGGAATGGACCGGGTAAGGTGGTGGTCCGGGGGCCCCCGCTCCGCCCAGCCCCTAAGAAAACACACGGCCCCCTTCCTCTAACTGCCCACCAGGCTCATGGACGTACACATAGTCACAGGAGACATGCACGCGCGTGCACACTCCCCCGTCGCGTCTCCTCGACTTAATGGTCGTCTTGTGGAGTGGGAGGGGGAGGGGGTGAATTATGCAATGATAAGAATAATATGTGAATATGTGGCACTATGGATGGCAACAAATTGTACTCTTTCTTTCTGTAGTTTTCTGTATTTTGTTTGCTTTGTAATGATTCAGGTAAAAAATGTATACGAGTGTATTTGCCCACTGAGTTGCAAAGAAATTTCCATCAATGATCAAGCTGCTCAATTTGAAAAAGGTTAATATAGTGTCCATTAAATCAATACATACGTCCTCCATCCTTAACTGTATCCTACAGTGTGTATTATAAACTACTCAAACATGCTAACCCATTAGCTTTAAACAACCGGGAGAGCAGGTAGGGTGCGAAAGAAAGCAGCTTGTTGGGCCTCCTGTGGGTCAAACACAAGCTAAATGGCGTTAGCCGTAGCTTGATGAGCTTGTGATGAACCCGATTGGATGTGGATGGCGTTTGTCTGTAGGCGAACCGACCGAGACGTAAAGCTTTGGATGGGACGAGCGGTCACGCACTGTGAAAATCCCACCTTTACATTAATTAGTGCATAAAAAAAGCGCTGATGGCGTTTCTACAGGGGGCAGCACGCTGCGTCCACGGGACCGGCTGTTGACTCCGCCAGCGGAGATGAGATGAAACTGAAAAGTAGGAAAACAAAAGGCGAAGGAGGAGACGGAGGAGTTAGAAACCAAGAACAGAGAGAGGGAGGAGGAGGAGGAGGAGGACTGCGGCTTGCAGTCATTAATTAGCCCGTTAGCTGGGGGCCCGGGCGGTGCGGTTGGGGCCTCTGCCTTTGTGGGCCTGAAGGAAATGGGACACATCTGAGAGCCATTACAGGAACTGACTTAACAAAGACACATGCCTGTCAGCCACCGAGCTGGGCCGGGCCGCTCTGCCTACACGGCACACAAAAGGGCCTCCACCGCTGTGTGTGTGTGTGTGTGTGTGTGTGAGACTATACGCGTGTTGTTTTCACAAGCGTCATGTGTGTTTTTTTGTGTGCGTGTCAGGGGGATATTATAAACTGTCCACATGTGTGTGTTTATGCAGCTTATCAGCTGTCTGTACTTTGAGTTAATATCAGATGCCTGTGTGTGTGTGTGTGTGTGTGTGTGTGTGTGTGTGTGTGTGTGTGTGTGTGTGTGTGTGTGTGTAACCATATCTATCAGAATGGGGCCTTCGGAAGCGTTGCTTTAACCCGTGGACATCCCCCGCTGGCCTCTCCACACCATTTAAAACCACATGACAGGAAACCTTTTCACTTTGAACTACACTGGTCCCCCCCCCACCCCCCCCTCCCGCCCAACAACACCCACCACACACTCAGACACTGGGCCCGTCCGTGAGGAGGACACAACTGAGACGCGGTGAGACAAAGGGAAGAAGTGGCTGTTACTCCGTGAAACTCTCCCGTGTGATGATGATGATGATGATGATGAAGTCACAGAAGCAACGCTGATTAATCCCAGCAGGTCGGTTAACTTTATTTGCCGTGATGAT